CCCCCCCCCAAAGAGTAGCGCGTCATCCTGTCCTACTAGTCTAGTCTTGTTCAGACGATTTTTCGATTTGTAGGAAACAAATAAAAGGGCACATTACTTCGCCTATCGCCGACAGGTGACCTCGGCAGCAGTCCCCGCTCGTTTGTGTGTACTAGAAGTACATACATGCGACGCGATAGTCGCTTCGATGAAGTCGCGGAAGTAAAAATTGCGAATGGTAGCAGCCGAAGAAAATCGCCGAAGATTGCTGAAAACGAAACAAGACTAACTGAAAACAAGTTTTGAATCGCCGAACGTCGCCCACAAGAGTTATTTTGTCATCAATCAAATTCGCCGAAAAAAATGTGAAACGCCGAGGAAAAAAAACAAAGTCGCCGGCGGGGACGAAGGGCCTAACCAAGAACCTCCTTTGTATAGACGGAACAAGGCGTGCAGGTTGGGAGGAAATGTGGCAGTCCCTTGTGGCAACGCCGCTGCTTTGGCTGGCGGCTGACGTGCGATCGACGGAAGCAGCCCAGGGTCCTCCCAGCACAAGCCACCCCTACACAATTGCAGCCAACCCCAATGAGCTCATGTACCCGCGCGAGCACGCTGTACGCTGTGCACATTTTTCTTTGTACAGAGAAAACGACGAATCCGTCTCTTCCCAAGAAGATCACTTTTTTAACAGTGGCTTGGGGCACCATATCTCGTGTCGGGCAAACACCCTTTTAACAGTGGCGTCAGCGGCAGGATGTCATCCCTGCAATATCAAAGTCCCGGGTTCGAATCGGGGCACAAGAAAATGGGTTGTTTGTCCGCCGCCAGCCGGTCGGGTTCCGGTTACCGTACATGCTACGTGGGTTGCGTCGTGGTACCCGCGTATTTGTCTACGATGCTGAGCTGTCCGCTCGCTCGTATCCGGGGGGCATGTGGGCACCTCATGTCAGTGTATAAGGCTTGGGGCACCTTATCTCGTGTCGGGCAAACACCCTTTTTACAGACTATCTATTATGGATATTGTGTATTACCCTGGCACGGTGGTGTAGAGGCTGTGCCGTCGACGTTAGTCGAGGTGATGACACGTGCGAGAGGGTAGCCTGGAAGACGAGAGTCCTTCGACGGAGTGGCAAAGATGTAAAGAAATTCGAACACTGGCGCTTACGTGGCCAACACAATCCGGAAGGATCAAACGAGAGAGCTACTCAGCTACAAAGCACCATGCAGAGAATACTGCGAGAGTAATTCCTCCGCATGCACATACTTACGTTACATTCTAACCGACATTCTAACCGACACATATGAGATCTACGATATACAAGAGCAGTGCCACTGAACATTGACGAATAATACTGGCTATGTGCTAACATTTCCATAACACTAAATACTTTCTAAAAAGCAGGTCAGAACACCATCACAAACGCTCAAAGATAAAAAACTTACACAACAACTTGCACAACGAAAAAAGTAATGTTACACGAAGAAACAACAGGGTACAAACCAAATCGGAATTCTGGGCTAATGGCCCCTGCCGCCTTCCCCCTGGGAGAAAAACTCAAGGAAAAATACCACGAAGTAGGCAAGATACACGAGAAACTTGGTCGTCTTCCGACATTCAAAATTCAAAACAGCGTAATAAATTCTCACCACCCCCGGCAAAACGCACCCAGTGAGTCCTTGAGCTTCGCAGCACCTATAACGACGAAAATAACTTACAGGCAACAACTCATTCTGAGTTCACCCACATAAACCCTCGGGAATTATACTGCAATTGCTGCTGTTGATACAGGAAATCACGCATCCAAGATAGTCCAGGCTTATCGCTTGCTTAACAGTCTGCATTCGAATCAAAATCCCTCGACGATAATTTAGGCTTCGGGAATGCGAGGCGTCGGCCGTGTTCTCGGCGGTCTCCAAGACTCAAGGTGGTGCCATACGACAGCACTCAAATCGAGGAGCAGACTGGTACGAGGGTGGAAATCCCGTGGATGTCCACGGCTTTGCCCACGCAACCCCCGCCGGTCCCACGAACCCAGGTCTTCGGCGTTAGAACGAACGCAGTCTGATATATTTCCGGCAGACAAGACCCTCGTACGCGCTGTTTTCTCTCTGCACCGTTTGTCTTCGGAGCACAAAGACGCCGGTCTCATCACACGACGTTATTGCTTAATGATCCGCCACCCGGCTGAGAGCGTGAAGGGTAAAATGAATGCCAATGCGCAGATATTCATCACCCAGGCTTCCCCTGCATTTTTCCAGGAAATTCCAACAAGCCCTTTGCGCACGGCTCAATACGCGCCCCTGCAAAGTCAAAACCACTTCGTCACACCAAAAAACACCCTCCTCGAAAATGCTAATACCTACCCCCCTCAACAGTCGACCTGACGATTGTGCGAACGATGTTTTGTCAGCACCTGTTTCGGGATTCGATCACCACCCAAAACCTACGCTCGCCGACCCGCACGGGGCTAGCTCGTGCGTTTTCCTCTTAGTGAACCAATCATGCTCTCGTCGGCCATCAGCGCGAGAAAATTGCGGTGACCACGCCGCCTTCTTCGATGTCAGAATGAGAAGATGGCCGGCTACCGCCACCGCAAGTCTCGTAAATATACTCTCGAAGCCTGCGTAGGGAAGGGCGAACGGAAGGCATGCTGTTGTTGTAGCTGTGTTGTCTTTACACTAGAAACCGTCCCGGTCTCTATCCCGTACCTCCATCTGTCCGTAATGATGTTTAATGTTCGGCATTTCAGTACTTGCAGATGAACGTGTGCATGTGTTTGTCCCAACTGTACATTGGCCACGTCAGTGAGTGTTTCAGCGCATGCAAATCTCCTAAACAGGATTCCATGAATCGGCAATGCCCAGGATGACAGGAAATACTCCTAGAAACCCTTCGGGGGAAAACACACTACAGATCTAGAGTAAAGTGGGGTATTAAGGGACACCCCCCTAATAAGGGACACATTTTTCATATGGACGTATCTCGGCGCACAATCCGCGGAGACCCCTGATTTTTTTCGAGGTGGTTGCAGCAAGCCGTTAGCTTTCGTTTGCGCACTTCAGCGTGCTGATCGGATCACGCAGTCACGAGATACAGCAAAGCAACTCCTAGCACCGCTGATGCGGTGCATCTTGCCCCTTTTCGGGGTCCTGCTGCTAAGCATTGGCCCGGGCACAGATTGACGCTTCTAGTTTCGAAAGCCTGCGACTCGCTACAGAGCAGATATCAACCAGGGCTGCTCCCACAGCCTGTAGGGTGCCCAAGAGCACCCTACACACGCGTACGCAGTAGAAGGGGACCGTGGGTGCCAAGGACAAAGGCCAAGTGTCCCTTATTTGGGGCTCGGGGAGTTTTCCGCCGTATCTTCGCTGACAAGTGAGGTGTGCTTCACCGGGTCTATCTCATGCCTAGACTGTCGAATCTCCTCACTGTTGCTGTTGAGACCTAGCCTGTGATCAACCGTATTGTGCGATACCTCCACATCCTTGTAAATCGTTCCCATGCCAGAGAACGAGCTGTTTGCGTGGGGGGTGCCTTAGGTGTCCCTTAATCGGTACTTTTACTCTATGCGAGCCCTCGCCAGCCCGTACTAACAGGAGCCACCATCGGAAATGCGGAGTGCTGACAGCCGAAAGGGGGTAGAGTGTATGCGTATGTGTAATTCTTTCATTGGCGTTACCCGCCCTACGAAAAGGCGTCGGCTTCTCGGGGGCGAAACCCCCAGTTAAAACGCACCAACTCAGCTTTGCGTAAACTATTTTGGTGTACGCACCTACCTATCCAACAGACTCCCTTGAGTGAAGTACACGCCAGTCTTTGTGGTGAACGTCTGTGCCAAGAGTTTATTTCAGCATGCAGTATGTAGTTTTGTGGTTGCCGGTGGGGAACCTGGTTTGCTCAAGTTCTTGCTTCCGCACAGACATGTGTATTACCCACGCCTCGGTCCGTGTCGCTGTGCTTGGTCAGGCTAACTGAACGACAGCGTGTTTTCTGCCATCACGATTGGTTGTTGATTATGCCGAGTCAAGTCTCCTCTCGGCAAAAAGATCATGTACCACATCCACGAAATGCCAGCAGGCACGTGACAAAGAGTGCGCTGCTAAACAGCGCCGTCGAAATGGTTCGAATACCACACGAAAAAAAAAAAGTTGAGTCGATTTTCCATCGAACAACGCGATCAGCAGTAGCTCGATGGAGGAGGATGTACCACGGCGCTTTCGGCATAAGTGTCTGCGTGACCGAGCAGATCGTGTTCTCTCACGACAGAACGGGGGTGAGTGGTGTTGATCCGTCCAAACGGACTGGCTAAGCCCGGAGGAAATAAAACTCGGCGCAACGACAATCGATCGTCTTCAACGCCGCACCTGAAGACGCAGTAGTGGATCAAGCCTCCTAGCGGGACCAGCACGAAGGTGACCACCGCGGCAAAGGCGGCCGAGTTGCCGACGCTCTCCCCCCAGTCCATCTGGCCGTAGATCACCCTCTCGTCCTCGGGGGCCGTCAGGAAGAAAACTATGTTGAAGGCCACGTACACAATCGAGAACAAGAAGGAGGCCAGCATCTGCTTTCGCTCGAACTTCGTCGCCACCAAGAGCTGGTCGATCGCCTGTCGATTTCAATCGGGGAAGAACAACAGACAACGCGCATGCATGCCGTAAGACGGGGAAAGTGGCCATCAAGTTCGTTCGGCGATTTCGGGCAGCTAGTTTAGCAGCTAAGGTGATTTCGGGCCGTTGGCTTACAAGCCGCGAAGAACGATCGCGAGGGCAGTTTCACAGCCTGGGACGGTGCGCCGCTGCTGCAAGTACTCACACTAGAGGTGAAAGACCGAACCACATGTAAGTATGTGCATGGAACGTGTGAGAGCGATTCCCTCCCTCCCCAAGAATGGAGTAGTTTACAGGGGCAGGGTCAAGGAATGACATGCCTTCGGTGCTCTCAGACGGTAAGGTCGAGTTGGCTAGTGGACCATCGGACAAACAGGCGGTGACTGCCAGGAGAAAACGTTGATTCCCCATCTTCCTTGCTGCATCAATAGCAAATATTAAGTCCCAGGCTCCTCACCGATTTAGCACGGGATATAAAACATGCTTCGTTTATCCACCGTCCTGCTTTCACCTTCTGCCCCACTCACCATGACAGGGGCGATGAGAATGTGGGCGTTTACGTCGGTGGACGTCAGCGGGGTGTTGTCGAACTGCGAGATTGAAGACAACAAGGGAAAAGGAGGGAGTGGGTCCGTAGGAGGTTAGCGATATCCCCGTCACGAAGCGGAAGGTGTTCCAAAGAAAACGAGATAGACGATGCCCATAGGAGGTGGAGGTATGTGAAAAAAACACGAATAGAGGCAGTCTGCCTCTACATGATGTGGCGGTCATACGAAGAAAGCGAATACGCTCCAGACGAAGTAACCTGTCGACAAGTCGGATGTGTTTTACTACATTTCAACGCTTTTCCAGTAACACCTGAAGGGCGCACGTCATGTACCAAAACTGTCTACGTTTGAACTTTGAAACTGCACATTCGGCCTCATGGTGGTGCCTGGAAGCACGCGAACGAATTATTATCATATCAAGGGTATGCGCATGCCTTCCAAAACGAAGTCTATGATCAGCATCTAAACGGTGCTGGCACGCACCCTGATGGATGACCGACTACAGTACACAACGTCGACTCACGAGGGCCACCCAGAACACCGTGACGATAACCAGAGATCCAACACAAGCCACGTTCCAGGAGAAGACCTGAAAGCCAAGGAGAGCCCGCCTGTTGCTTGACAACGGTTGGTTCCGGTTCCCGCGATGCGGCGCAACAGCGTGCGTCCCTCGAACCGGGCCGTCGGAAGCCATCGGGGAGCCCAAGAACGAGTATGCCGTTGCCGTCGACACCAAAAAATCTGCGGCGATATGCAAGGGTTTGTTCACGAGCGAGGACATTGCGCGAAGTTGGGGCGCGTCGAGCAGGGAATTTTCGAAGAAAACGATGTTCAAGCAGACTATAGCTCCTGTAGCGTTGGGTGTTAGTTGCCACCGCCAATTACGTTCGCACACAGGCCACGGCAGTTCTAGGCGCCGTGTTCGTTTGTGTGACCAGATGTTTGGAACCAGGTGTTCGGATACATGGTTCGGCAGGAAACCAAACTCTCCTATCGGAAAATTTCGTCATGGCCCGAAGTCTACAGCTGTACCCTTTCGATTACGTGTGTAAGGAGTACCGCGCCCTATTGCGTTGATGCCAGAGCAGTATCATACGGCCAGCGTGGTGTGGCCCCTTGAACACCAACTACATGTCCTCATCGACCGAGCCATTCCTTCCCAAGCAGGCGAGGTTCTAATCCGAATCATGACTATCAAAGCAGGGTTCGCACAACTTGTAGCAAAAGCCCACGTCGCAATCAAGCTAATACGCTCGCAGGGGATGGAAGGAATCGTCGCCTACCGCACACCGATGTCATATTACAACATACTAATGGGCCATGCAACTATCAGGAACGCAAACAACAAAAGGAAACAAGGTACCGTCAAACTAGGACAGCAGTAACACCAGCGGCCGGCCCGGCACGCTTTTGGTGTGATGAATAGCGCTTCTTGCGAGCTCAACTTCTCGACAGGGACATGAGGCGAGAGCGTAGAAACCTTTCGACTTCCCCGGCTGGTAGTTCGAAACATCGGGCGGATGATCCTCGCCCTTGTAGCTTGTAAAACCCACCGGTAATGTTCTTACACAGATTCTAGCCATGCCGCGCAATTCCCCGCCCACATATACCGTGCACTTACAGATTGCAGCCATGTACCACCCCCAGTAGGTGACGAACTTGTGAGCATCATCGATATCTTCCCCAAACGGCCAAAAGTAGCACCAGAACACAAAATAGATGGTCGCGATAACCTTGTAGCAGAGGAAGCTTCGCTGGGACAGGAACCGAGAGGTCACCGCTCGAACGGGGTCCTGGGGAAAAGTTGTTCAGAGAACAGAATGGTACGCCGGGGTTGGGGGTTGGGGGGGGG